TTGTGGTAAGTATACTCTCGCTCACTCCCATCAATTGCGTCACTGTCTCAATCTCTTCTGTTATCTCACCCTCACCTTAAAATTTTTCCCAGTTTCTGCTTGATCTCATATCTATTACTTTCTGAGCAAGCTGAATTTGGTTCGTCGTACATCTTCGTATGGGTTTTTTCCAACTTTCCCCGCTTGAATGGCTCTAGGAATGATCGATACTCACTTGTCAATTATAAGTAATGGTGGTGAAAAATAATCATTTATGTTTGTAATTTGTCTTGTGGAGAGAAAAAGCAGCGACGAAATCGTTCATGAATGATATAGGAAAAGAGGAATGTAATATTTATGTTCGTACAAGCCAAAAAACAGCACGGCATTCAAAAACTAGATGGTATTCGAGTTTCGACTCGAATACGAAATGCGGTGCGAAGCACACGTGCGGAGAATTCAAAAAACGAATTTCGAATCGAAATCGAATAATCTTTCTGAATATCATCACAATTTGTTCTCACATTCTACGTCAAGGTTCAGAGATAATTGAAGATTTTTCTGAGTTAGACACAATCGATAAAAAAAACATTTTTATCGAACAGCTGATCTAGCGTAGATCGGACCTGAAAGGCATCCATTATGAAATTGATCACTAGAGGAACTCTACTAAAGGGTATCGACAGACTTCTAGAAACTCTTGTTTATTGATCGATTAATTATCTCAATGATTCATTATCTACTATCAGCTGTATTTACAGCTGTTTGACATATGAGAAAAGTAAATGGCGCCTAACTTTCTTTTATTTTTTCAATTTTAATTATCTCAAAACGAAAAGCAAATAAATAGTTTCATATTTGTCATTTTTGGAAACCGATTATGAGGAAATTAAGCATTTTCAGAACAATATCAATACAAACGTTACGAGTTCGATCTCGATACTTTGGCTTTGCGTTTAAACGACTGTTTTGTGAGTTTCCATTTTCGAGATCATTGCGTGACAAAATGACAAGTTTGATGCGTACGTATAGTAAAAAAGAAAGAACTAGATGGTATTCGAGTTTCGACTCGAATACGAAATGCCCTGCGAAGCACGAGTCTCTCGAATCTTCGAAAAAACGGATTTCGAGTCGAATTCGAATAATCGCTCTAAATATGATCGCAATTTGTTCTCACATTCTACGTCAAACTTCAAAGATAATTGAAGATGTTTCTGAGTTAGGGATAATCAATAAAAAAACATTTTTATCGATCAGCTGATCTAACCTAGATCCGACATGAAAGTCATCCATTATAAAATTCATCACTACAGAAACTCTAACAAAGCGTATCGACAGACTTCTAGAAACTGTTGTTTGTTGATCGATTAATTATCTCAATGATTCATTATCTATAATCAGCTGTATCGCAGCTGTCTTATACTCAAAGAGAAAAAAAAATGGCGCCTAACTTCTCTTTCAGTTTTCGTTTTAATTATCTGAATGCAAAATTTTGTCTAAATCGTGTTTTTGGAACGATATTTTTGTGCGAACCAAAGACTATATGAAAGATTGGAAAAAGATGTCACGCGTTCGATCATGATACTACCATGTTTCGTTTTAACGATTAATTTGTGATCTTTGGTTCTCGAGATCATCGCGTCACAAAATGACGAGATTTTATGCGTCATACACGTGATTAATTGTCTATAATCAGCTGTATTGTCAGCTGTCTTGTATTTCAACATCATGAATGGCGCCTAACGTTTGTTTATGTTTTCGTTTTAATTATCTCAATGCAAAATTTTGTCAAAATCGTGTTTTTGGAACTCGATTTGTGAGAGCACCGAATGTCGCAAACATGATTTGAAAAAAGATGTTCCATATTCAGTGTCGATACTTTCACTTGTCGTTTCAACGAAAGTTTTCCGACTTTCCGTTCTTGAGATCATGGCGACACAAAATGACGAAATTTTATGCGTACGTCGAGAAAGTAAAAGAAAAACTAGATGGTATTCGAGTTTCGACTCGAATACGAAATGCGGTGCGAAGCACACGTGCCGAGAATCCGAAAAACGAATTTCGTACCGAAATCGAATAAACGGTCTAAATATTGTCGGAATTGCTTCTTACATTCTACGTCAAGGTTCAAAGATAATTGAAGTTTTTCTGAAGTAGGGATAAGAGATTAAAAAGAAAGTTTTTTTTCGAACAGCTGATCTACCCTAGATCTGAGATGAAAGGTATCCATTATGAAACTGATCACTAGAGAAACTCTACTAAAGCGTATCGACAGACTTCTAGAAACTGTTGTTTATTGATCGATTAATTATCTCAATGATTCATTATCTACTATCAGCTGTATTTACAGCTGTTTCACATGTGAGAAAAGTTAATGGCGCCTAACTTTTCTTTTGAATTTTCGTTTTAATTATCTCAACAGTGAACTTTGTCAAAATCGTAATTTTGGAGCTCCGATTGTAGACGAACTATAGGTTCTGTAGATTATCTGACTAAAAATGGTACGAGTTCGATCTCGATACTTGCACCTCACGTTTGAACGAGTATTTTCTGACTTTCGGTTCTCGAGATCATCGCGTCAAAAAATGACAAGTTTGATGCGTACGTCGAGCTAAAAAGTAAGAAAAAAAAAAAAACTAGATGGTATTCGAGTTTCGACTCGAATACGAAATGCGGTGCGAAGCACGAATCTCTCGAATTTTCGAAAAAACGATATTTCGGAGAAAACGAAAATTCGATTGTCGAGTTAATAGAAATCGTCATTTCTGGTTGATTTGTGGACGGACTACCGAACATAGACAGTTCTCTGTCCCATTCGAATTCGAAAAATTACTTTTTCACAACTCAGCTGATATAAGTCGTGAGAAAATTGAAAAGTACCATAATGAAATTCATCGCCAAGAGAACTCTATGAAAGGCTATGAACACTTTTCTGAAGGACGATTTCGATTGATCGTTTAATTATCTATATGATTCATTATCTACAATCAGCTGTAATTACAGCTGTTTGACAGATGAAGACGATACAATGGCCCCTAACTTTTCTCTTTATTTTCATTTTAATTATCTGGAAATGGAAGAAGCTCTAAGTTCTGTCAAATCCGTCTTTTTGGAACGATATTTGTGAATGAATGGAATGTTCGATTAAATATTGGAAAAAATGTTGCCGCAGTTCGATGTCAATACTTGTACCTCTCGTTTCAAGTGTTTTTTTGTGACTCTCGGTTTTCGACATCATCGCGACTCAAAATGACGATTTGTGATGGGTATTCGAGACTGTTATGATATAAACATTTAGGAATTCTTGTAAAATATTAAAATAATCTTCATATTTTACATTTATAATAATAAAATATAGTTTTCTGCAATCTTTTTAAATTCATCCTTGATGATTTACTTTTGTTTACATAAAAACTTGAGCTATTCTATAAAGCAAGTCACTTTTCACATAAGAATTAATAAATTTTTTATTATAATATGTTTGAAAATGTTTCTTATCTCTATGTGCTTTGATTAATCAAGTATTGGAAAATAGTTTTTGAAAACTAGAATTTTTTTTATGAAAACTTGCTAAGTTTTGTCATTTGTATAACAAAAAAAATGTTTGAAAATTATCTACTATAGTTAAACGTTAATTGAATTAATATTTGCAAATGAGAAGTAGATCATAGATATATATTATGAAATTTATCCCAACAAATTTAACTCGAAATAATTATTATTATAATAAAGATTTTTTGGCATTTAAAAAAAAATAATATTGATTATGATTGAATTATGTTTTTTTTGATAAATATAGAACGGGTAATTGAATTATAGGAAAAAATGATTCGATTTTCTGGTATATAAATGAAAAATGATAGTTTTTGAAAGTAAGAATCATTTATTAAAATAATAAATAAATAATAATTATATAAAATGATTTATAAATATCTTCATCCTATATATATAAAATAATATTTAAATGATCTCACTAGTCATCGATTTAAATCAAAAGTAATATATCTGTATTCGAACATATATTTAATATTTTCATTGAAATATTATTTTTAATTTCGAAAAAATTCTAAGAGAAAATCTGTATGAAAGAAAAAAAAATCGATTCTCTTTTAAGAATATCATTTGAAACGAACGAATAGAAATCTTCCTTTAGTTTTCTTTGTTAAAGATACTTTCATTTATCATATATTAAATGATTCAGTAATTATTCGTCATCATTATTTTTTTTTTCTAAATTTAATTGAAACAAGACCTGGACTTAATTGAATAATACTGTTTTTATTTATTAATTATACGAAAAACGATATTCAATTTTGGTGAATACTTTATCTTTGTTTTCTTTAAAATATTTAAGAATATTATGGAAGCATTTTCTATTTCAATTAGAACAATATCAAATAACAAATATTGTCAAACATGAATAAATGAATGTTTAACTTTTAAAATAAAAAGAATGTCTCGTTAAAAAGAAAGAGCAACGAATATAAATGATGATAGTATATATATATGTATATCGTGGTTATTTTGTTTTCGATTTTTTTATTAAAATAATATGTTTAATATTAGAGGTTTCTATATAGTGTCTGTCTATCTGTCAAGCTAATCTTTGTTGGTTTGACTAATCTTATCAATTGAATTCAAAAAAAGAATGAACATTATTGATGATTTTCTTGTGTTTTTTCTCGTAGATGATGGCTTCAATGAACTAAGTCAAACAAATACTTATTCATTCGTCGATTGAATCGATTTGTGAAAAAACACGAACGAAAGACAAAAAACAAATCTAAATATGATTGAATTGTCGTTAGAATAATATGTCAATGAACAAACACAGGCATGTATGTTATTGGAAAAGGAGTTACAAATAAAAACAATTTCAAGTGTATTTTTGAATAGATTTTCATTTACCTGATTTATTAATGTATGTTTTTTTGATTTAAATCAATGTCACTCATTGTTTTTTTATTATTTTAGAATAAAACGAAAGCAAAATATTAATTAACGATGATGAATCAGTTGAAATGTTATATTCAAAATTATGTCTTGATTTAAATATGGATATGGAACTAAACTTAGATGCATGGCGTTCATATGAACATATTCGTAATTATTATGTGTTAGAAGGCGATCAATTACATTGGTTAGCTGCATCATTATATGTATCATGTAGACGATATCCTCATATAACAACATATGATAATAATCCAATATAAATATTACGTTTATTAAAAAGTGGTAATCATTTAGAATTGTTTTTTTTTCTTTTGATAAATTAGATAAATAGGAATATGTGACCAATTTACTTGATTCAATTCGATCAAAAATTGATCAAGTTGAGAATGCATTTAATATATTATCAAATACATTTGAAAAAATATACAAAAATATTGATTGATATATTTGGTGAAACTTAATATAAATTAATTTATTTCGATTATCAATATAAAAGAACATCAAATGAAATAAATCCTAAATTAAATACAAAAAAATTAATTAGATAAATGTTCACCTTAAGATTCATATTCATTTATTTCGACAATATATGTATTAACCAGAACAGTTTATCCATCAATTATAAATGATCTTATTACTTCGTTTCATTTACGTATTCCTTCTTTTTTTATTCATGATTATGCTAAATTAACGAAATTAGATTATTTAGCTAAAGATAAACATTAATTCTAACAGCGTTTTTACTTATTTTATTTATATTTATTATATACATATATGATTTTAATCGACTCTGTCTTACCTCAGCTGACAATTAAGTAGCATTTGTACTTTTTTTAAAATTTATTTGTTTCTTACTTCTTATCAAATTAAGATTTCACAAGAGTTTTTTTTTCTTTTAATTTTATTTAAACTTAAAAAGTTTTATGTTTCTATATAAAACATACTTTATTTTAAAATACTATTTAAAATTCTTTAATATAAAAATCTATTTTATTTAATATATTTAGGTCATTTTTATTCAAAAAAACATTTGAGATAAATATGAGACAAATTCCAATTTTATTTGCTCGATATAGAATTAAATTAAATTATATTTTTTATTTAGAGATTTATAAATCTATTATTAAATAAAAACCGTTTCGAATGTTTATTTTCGAATATGTTTCGATCGTTTAGGAAAATTTTAAAAATTTGTTTTCTTAATATTATTATTAATGGATGAAAATGTAAATAATCGATATATGATTAACGATCATTTGAAATATTAATTGACAATTCAATCGTACTCAATTCAAATCGTTTAAATAATTTATAGTCATAACTGTGAATAATCGATTTATCATCATTTGTAAGTGATGTAATTAAGAGTAGGATTTGCAACTAATGATTATATTCACATTTAAATATGTTCTCGATATATGCATTTAAAAATATATTAAATCTGATTATAATTATCATGAATAATAATCAATGTTTGATAGATAAGTTATTTGAATATTAAGGTTATTTAGTTAGAAATAGATCTCTATAATAAACGACTTATTTTAATTTATTAGATAGAATTATATAAAGATATATTCATATTCGACTTTAAATATCATCATATTAAACGAGTTGTTCAACTTCTTTTTTATTTCTTAAATAAAGTATGAAAATAATTCGTTGAAATGATGAAAGATTAGCTTAATATTTTCATAAGTCGAATATGTATTGTTCGAGTTGGTTATTATGTTATAAATCGATATTTGTTTCGTAAACATAATATTGAAAGCTAATCGAACTAATTCAATTATTTATTCGAAAGAATAAATAACAGTTAGAATATTATTTGATAATAGAAATAATTTAGTTAGAACGGATCTAATAAATCGTATAAAGAGTTATGAAAATTTCTTTTTTTTTTTCTTAAGGTTCTTGTTTAAATGAGGCATGTTCAAATGATAGAAGCATATTCGATAGATTATGTATGATGTATTGTTGTTCTTCGGATATGTGTTGATCAATAATCTAACAACATTTAAAAAATGATTTGTTTGAATGTCTTGATAAGAAAAGAAGATTTTTTAAATGAATTTAATTATTTGGTAACAATTCGTGATATAAACCATGAATATGATGAAATTGTTTTAACGAGTTCTATTATTGATGAAAGAATTTTTTTAGAATTATTTTTCAGTATAATCATATATGACTTCATTTTTCAGTTAATCAACATTTATAATTTTGTTGAGATTTTATCGATATATAATCGATATTATAGAATAGAATTAAATGAAAATGATATCAATAATTTGATTGAAAATGAATAATAGATTTAAAAGAAAAAATATTCAATTAGAAATCAAAAGATATTTTCGATAGATGATTTTCGTGACGATCAATAATCATTTATAAATAATTTAAATCTTGAAAAGTTATTTCAATTAATCTATTTTAGATTTTTATTATTCTGATAAATCAGATATATCCTCGAATTTATATTTTAGAGAGAGACGATTATCATCACTAGTTTTTTGTTATTAACTTAAACAAATAAATATTTATTTTTATATAAGACATTCATTTTTTTAAATATTTTGTTAAAATAAAGACAACTTAATTAAAGTTAAAAGGAATTTTGGTTTCTTGTTGAAGATCTATTCTATTTAAATTAGAATAAATTGAATAATATTTGTTTATGATATTCACGTTTATTTAAAATGATGATTATTTTAATGATATATAATATTTAAAACGTTATCAATAATTGAATAAAGACTAAAAAAAGAACCAAGTTTTTGTTTTATTGTGAAATATATCAGTGAATATTTATTTAATAGTCAATATGATGTAATAGAAAATGTATAGTCATCTGTTGTAATTCGGATCACTGTTCAAAAAAATCGATTTATCTCAGCCATTGAGCCGTATTAAGACTAGTACTTTTTCATGTATGTATATCAATAGATTTATTGAGCAGGTGCCTGCACAGATACGAAAGTAAATGAAGTGGCTTGAAAGTGACAAACAAATCACCTTGATTCTATCAATATTGATATTGCATAAATATCATGTTCACAATCGAAATGAATTAAAATAAACTAATTGAAATTCTTTTAAATGTAAGATGTTAACATATGTAATTAAATAATATTTCTTTTTTTTTTCCTCTTGTATAGGTCTAGGAAGAGTTGAATTGTAAGAATTCATATTTTTTTTTATATGTATTTTAAAAATAGACAGTTGAAGTTTTTTTTCTGCCTAAAAGTGATTCAGTAATGTACAAGCAATTTGATTTTTCAATGAAATCGATTTTTTTATATAAATAATATTTGTTTTCTTAAATAATATTTTAGGTAATCATAATTATAATCAGCTAAATACCAACGATTTATTGTATATAAAAGTCATTCAAGTGCAACATTTAAAAAAAAATTAAAGTATAATTTCACTTTACGTATATAACTGCAAACATTAGAATTTTATAACAAAAAATTTACAAAAAATCATTTTATACATAATAAAGTTTTTTTTATTTTGATGTTGTCTTTGTTTGAAGCAAATCTTGTAAATTATTACTAATCTAAAAATTAAAAATAGTTTTTCTTTCGAGTTAATTTTTGAAATTAATTTAACATACTATTTTATCATCAAAAATATTACGATGATCTATTAATAAGACTTCGGTGCAACATAAATTATGGGTAATCTGAAAATATGAATATTTCTTTTTTAAGTTAATATTAAAAATTTCTAGCGTACCATTTTATCACAAAGTATATTCAACAATTTTTTTTAAATAAAGTTTTCATCTAAGAAAATTTATTGTTGAGCTGGGAATAGTTTATTTTTTTCAAATAACATAGAATAGTTTAAGTTATTATTATGTTGCGCGAAGTATCAATGTAATGTATTAGTAAGATCTTATTGTAAAACAAATGATTCGTGGATTGAAAATAAATTGTTTTTTGTTGAATTAATGTTTTATATATTTTAATGTACTATTTTATTATGAGAAGCATAAAGATAATGTATTGATACGATCTTCTACTAGACGAAATATGGTTAAAATTACAAATTTTTTTTTAAATAACATACTGCATACTTTGACGTACTATTTGATTTTGAGAATTAATAACATAATATATTAATAAGATCTTCTTGCAAGACAAAATATTGGCAATCTTTAAAAAAATTTCTTTTTTAATCAACATTGAAAATAGTTTAGTATACCGTTTTATTGTCATAAGCATCAATATAATGTATTAATAACATATGGTTGTAAGACAATTTATTGTTGATCTGAAAAAGTAGAATTCTTTTTCCAATTTATATTATATATATATTTGATTTTACCATTTTATTGTAACATATAACGAATTGAACTGTTAACAAGATTGTTATATTTTTGGCAAATTAGTGCTAATCGAAAAAACAAAATTCAGTAATCCATTTATTTAAATTTAAAAATATTTGACTTACTAATTTATTATGAAAATTATAGAATCAACGTTTAAATAGAATCTCGGTGCAAGTGAAAATCATTAATTATTAGCAATAAAAATTTTTTTTCCAATTAATATTTGAAATATTTTTACCAATCATTGTAATATGAAAAGTATTGAGATAATTTATTAATAAATTCTCAATGTGAAACAAATGATTGAATATTAAGTAGTTTTATAAATGTGTTAATATTATATGTCTCATAACATAATTGATTAGTTGTTGGCTGAACAGAAAAGTATTCGTGAGATGATAGATGACATTACGAAATTGTTTTTATAATAAATAAAATACAACATAATGAAAAGTTAAATAAAAGTATACATAAAAAAAAAGTAAATAAACATAAAAGAATAACACATAGATGAACCCAATATAATTTAAGTACACAGATAATTAGAAAATATATAAAGAAAGGAAAAAAATATTATAACAAACAAAAAAAATAAAATTAATCAAGTAAATAAAATATGTTCAGACGAAAGAAAGGCTGGGCTCCCATCAATACAAACAACACTATCGTAATGTGGCATATTTGGATCATAACAGAGATGTAATTGATGTTCAAGAAAGTCGGAGCCAGGAATAAGTATAGGTTTTTTTTTGAATTCATGAACAATTATATTTTTATTGATGATAACGGCTGTAGATGAAAGTGCGAGATGGTCAGCATATGTTCCATCTTTACTCATTTCTTCAATATAATTTTCTATTGTTGAATACATTTCATCAATAAATGATGCAAAATCGTTCATATTTTGAATTAAATAGTTTATTGTTTCAGATCTAATATTTAAATGATCGTCTTCGTGTCTATATAGTTGATGTGAAATTGCACGAAAGAAACAATTACCATCTGCTAATATATTAATTTTTTTTAAACCTATACTAGAAAGTTGTTCAGTAAAACTAAATGTGGCTCTTCTTTTTTCTAAGCAATTTTCTTTTCTTATATTAGTATAATTACGAAGAAATAATCTTTGTTTTTCTTTTAAAAGATTATTACAGGTATTGACAGTTGTTAAAACTTTTATTTTTTTAAATATGTGATTTGATTTTACT